TCATCATCATCATCATCATCATCATCATCATCATCATCATCATCATCCGTGTTTTTGAATCTCTTCTTCTCCGGGGATTGAAAAGTCCACAATTCTGAGACCGCACTTTTGGCTATTTGTGTGTAGCTCCGCTCTCTCAGAACTGCTAGAGTCCAAGGGGACAAGGACCCCGGCTGGCAATCGGTGGCATCTGCGGTCAAAGCACCACCATTGCAGAAGGCTTGAACCTGGTGTGTACTAACGAAGTCTAGAGGTAGACGATTGTAGAGCGTGAAAAATGAGGAGCAGTCTGGGGGAGTTAGAGCTAAAACAAGTTGAAACTAAGTACCACTACGTTACTTCGTTATTAGGTCACACATTGGTTTCAAAAAAGGCGGAGGATTGCGCCAATCAACGATGCACAAATACTTCCCCTGGAGGCTGGAGTTGGGCTAAAAGAAACTTCAAGGTTTGTGAGGTGGCGCCTCCGTTTGTCCGTCGTTTGACAGTCTTTTCCGCAAACGGGACTTTTCCAGCAAATTGCACTAAATGGTTGCACAAATCTTACTTTGGTTTCTTGCAACTGACCAGCATCACATCGGGTATCTCTTCTTCAAAGCGGTGACACAAGGGAACGATGAAGAAACTTCAACATAGTTCAGCTTGGATGACATCGGTGAGCAAGACTGTATCTACTGGAGTTTGGGTCAAGTTTATATAGTTGCCTTCAAATCATACCACACTCATCTTAGCATGTATGATCAATATACACCGGGGATTCAGTGGATGATGACGGTTAGGTTCCAGGCCTTGTTCAAAAAAAGCAATAGGATAGACCCTAATCTACTCTTTAATTTAACATATAGTCTTTACTTCTTTACTGAGTCCTTACAAGTACCTCAGAATCTCTTGGACCCTCACTGTGCCACGGAAGCCCGGGTGGAAGTCTTGGCAGTTGGCGAAGAAGCCCTTGCCATCTGGCACATCCTGGCAGGCACCAAGGTTTGGCCTTGTGGAGAAGGGGCCAAGGTTTGGGGTGGAGAAGCCAGGGTGCCTGGCCCCTCAATTGCTTCTCATTGATTTTGCAAATGATTTATACAGATGATGCGATCAACTTTTTGGACTTCGTATGACCACGCATGACTTGGTTTGGTCACTCATTCAATCCCCGGCTGAAAAAACACAACTGGACAGCTCTTGACCTTGTCAGTCCGAACAACCAAACCACTTTAAACATGATGATGATGATGATGATGATGATGCTGCTGCTGCTGCTGGTGGTGGTGGTGGTGGTGGTGATGGTGATGGTGATGATGATAATATAATTTAAGTAAATCTAACAAATAAATATACAGTACATATTCAACGTTCTAAAAGTCCTTGCCAGGTGCCCCAGTTCATTCTCGCACTCACACTCATATTCTTTTTAGACGTCCTCTAAATAACTGCAAATGGGCACTTATCTGTCTAGGCCACCCCAAAAAAAACTCACAAAAACATCCTAAAACCTCTAAACATCCGAGCTCCACATCAACTGTTCCATTCTTGGCATCTCTTTTGGACATCCCCCCGTCCCAGTCCCAGTCCTCTGGAGGTGTAATATCCACCAGTTGCCCGGCCACAATCACCTGGCACCAGCGACGAGACTCCGGTGTGCACTGTCACTGGTCGTCGGTTGGGCCGGGCAGGTGCTCAAATCCAACACATCTGAAATCGAGACAAGCCCCAGCAAGCACAGCTTTCCCATCCGTCAGCTGATGATGGCACGGCACAAACAGAAATCCCGTTTTTTTTGGGAGGAATGTGCTACAACATCGAAACATCTTTCATCAACGTTTTTTGGACACAGGCTTTGAGCAGTGGCCTTGTTGGACTCAGTGGCCTTGTTGGACTCTTGGACTCGATTCCTCCCCTCTCGTTCCAACCGTTGGCAGGTCGTCTCGTTCACCTGTGCAGGTCGTGAAGGAATGCAAACCACTTCGCAGCTGGACCTGGGAGTGCAAAGCAAATCCAGGGCGTTGCGGGTGCTCTGAGTATCTACCCTGGAATAAGCCATCTGACGGGCTTCGTTTGACTGTTGCTAGGGGCCATCTCACTCATGAACCTATGTCTGGTGCAGCAAAAGAACACCCATGATCGTGGTTGAACCGAACGCCACTGCAAACTGCAGGATTCCAAGCCGTCTGATCTGTACATTATCTGTAGACTTTCTACATATACTACAAAGTGAGTGAGGGTCAGTACACTGGCACCCCACCTTCTGAACGGCCGTACGCGTCAACATCGACGCGCGCGGCTGTTCACGCGCGGACCGAGGCTCCCAACGCATCTGCCACGAACGCTCCATAGGCACACGCCAGACGGAGCTCACCTGAGAGGTGGCCGCCGCTGCTCCGAACTCGCCCGCGCCGGACCGAGAATGGGATATGAGCGTCCTTTGGTCTGAAAGGAGAAGTATAAACAAACGCATGAACCAGAGTAGCCACGAACATCCTCAAGCTTCCAATGTCCAGAATCGATGGTGTTTTGCTGCATTTGCAAGGGCTGGCTGACTCTCACTCCACGCTATGCTGCCGGACCCTGCAAGCCCTGGCGATGTCGGCCGTTGATGTCACGGTGTTCGGGTGAGAGAGATTGATCGATGTGCATGTCACGTCGACTCTACAAGGTTTCTACTACTGGAGAAGGGTGTGGATCTGCGAATTCTGAAACCCGGAGGTTCGATCTGTTCAATGAATGCATCTTACTTGCGGCATCAAACAAAAAGGGCCACAACCCCCTTCACAAAATGTGTTCCAACGAGAAACGTCATCAGTAGAAGAGAAACAATCTGGACATGCGCCCATTTCAACCCTCTCGTCTCAGCAGCGCAGTGATCCCACCCCCCAAACATGCACCGCTTTCACCCGCCCCAACCCGATGCCGAAGGCGCCGCGTCGGCGGATTCGCAGGTCGTGGTCTCAATGAACAAGTGCCCCAGGTCCATGGTCCTTTTGGAGTGAGACTTTGCGGTTAACGTCGATTCCAGCCGCGGATGGCCGTCCAAAACCCCGAGGTGTTTTAGGACGTGA